TATTCTTTGTATTTATCTCCATACGATAAGATAAAATAAATAATTTAACACTTAGCACAAAAGTTACAACATTTTAATTGAACCTTACCAGTAAAAAACGTAGTTCAAAGTATTACCAAATTATACCCGGCGGGGTATAATGCACAAATCGATACAATACGAAACGTATACTTTTAATGAAATCTATATATATATATACATCTAGTATTTTAATAATTATTTATGCTATATGATAATATTGTCTCTTCTACAAATTTACAACAAGATTTATCAGAGTGACTTATAATTTATAAAATAAAATAAAAACTAAAGATTCTAATAAAACAAATTTAAAAATAAATGTGAGATTCTCATTAATCTATTTTAACAACTACCAAATATTCGTTTATGTAAGAGTATCGTGTTTATGTAAAAATATATAATGTAGCAATGGACAATGGTTATAGTTGTTACGTTTTTCTATGATGGAGCATATTTCTCCTTGTTTAAGTGTATGTTAGTGTTCAAGTCTATATTAAATAGCTTTGGGTCAAGACTTAGGAGTGAAGAACATAATATATTTTAATGTTGGTCTCTGAGAACTGAGCAGGAGTCAGAGTTGGTCAGGAGTGAAGCAGAATTCAAGATAAAATAGCCTCAGCTTTTATTAGTAATATAATGAGTATCTATAAAGTTAAGTTGTATATTAGTTCAAAAATAGGGAACATATATGTATAACAAATTTTAGTTGATTATCTTTATAATAATACTAAATAAGTTAAGAGTAGGTAACTCAAATCTATAGTGAGCTACTGTACCACCACTATTTCTCTTAGGACTTATTAATAAATGAAACTTTGTATATACTACACACCACTAGTCATTACAAGTACAACAAAATACCAGGGATGAAGGTACCTATTATGCTAGATAAAAGAGGTAACTACGTATTAATCATAATATTCTAAGGCAAGTTTGTATTAATGATATTTATGATAATCAAAAACATTTGATATTCCTTCATAAAAACAAAATCAGCAAAATGTAATCACAAGAACCAATAATATCATACCTTGCATTTCGTTTTATTTGTATGGACAATTGTAAGATATTAATAAATCCGAAATACAGACTGTATATTAAAAACGCCAAGTAGGTATTTAATTTGATATACAATCCCTATATTGTATATTTGTATTTTAAGTGGTAACCATGGTAGATCATCGTTATAACCATGCTTGTAATCTAAATAGTATGGACATTTTTCACTCGTACGACAGAAAAGATAAATTATTATACGTAAACATATTTATTATACTGCTATAATATACAGCAGGTAAAATCAAAACCTACCATTAAGGTATGAAATATAACAGTTGAAAACCTATTAATCGCCACAAAAGTTGTATTCATCAATACCTACGAATTTCTAACGTAGGTAGGGTATGAAATTTAAAACTTTTCAGACACTTTTTTATCTACCGGCTTCAATTAAAAAAATTGATTCAGAATATTATCGGATCTCTAGTCGCTTAATTTATTCGTTTCATTTTGAACATAATTATTTCCATTATTGTTATTATTATATACTTTTATTTTTTTTGTGAATGAATTTAAGATAGCTTGCTGTGAATATTATTTGAAGTGAACGGGAATTGTTTACATAAAATGAATATATATCTATATCTCTATAATATATTACCAATAGTGTTATATTTTTCATTATTAAAAACTTCATAAGTATAATTTATATGTGAACACGTTATTGATTAAAATAAAAATGTACCAAACGAATATAACTGAAGTGATGCTTGGTAAAAAAAAAATCTTTGAAATAAAGTACCTACTCAGAAAAATCGAAATTAAAGCCTGAGAACGTCGCGTCGTACAGTAGGAAATCGTCAAATTATATCAGATGATTGCATCTGTATACTATACCTACGTATAACATATGCCCCTATATTTCGTAATAGTGAAAATAATGATATAATCATCAACATATATCAATACCTAAAATGGTGAGACGTTCGCTGCATTAAAAAATGTATAAGCATAACTTCAATTGATTGTAATTATACACTATTATACACACAGTAAATAATGTTATTTTAGTTATTTCATAATTCATAAGTGCAGTGAAAAATTTGATCGATTTCCGCCTTTAAGAATAAATGCTTCAATAAAAATCACGACTGAATTTTACCACACACTCACACATAACGTATTAGTAGTATATTATGCTATATATTATATATTATCATAAGTGATTTCCTATACGGGACTACCGTCCCGAACGTATCGTTAAATACTAGATAATAATATTACTATATTTATTTCTCGTGCATCTTGAATCTTGATGGTAAATTATTGAGCGTAGGTAGCTTTCTATATAAGCTCAGTCTGAGTTCAAACAAAAGCAGTGGTTTTCGCAACTTGTAATGTACCTATATAATAACTTACTAGAACAGAAAAGGAGAACCTTTACGCACCGTAAACGTTCAAAGGCCCCAGCGATTTGGCTGACCTGTTGGCTGTTGGTGTATATTAAGCTTTAACTACCGTCCTGGTACGTAAATGGGCGATTGTTATAGCGTTTGTAGGTACTATAAATTATACATCGAAGATAGAGCCTCCATTTATTAAGGAACCAAATGTATTATATTATGGACGTCGTTAAAAAAAAACATCGAACTTCATTAAAACGTGTTTGACTTTTAAATGATATAATTGTGACTTAATATTATAATTTAATTTAAATATTAGTAAACACAGTGTTAATTATTATACAGTTAGTCGTTTTGTTGCAAAATTAAATAAGTCAAATAGATTAGCTACGACCGCGACGTCGAAATTAATATTATTAAATTTTAATTGGATTTTGAAACATTAATAATCGAATAACTTCGAAAAGAATATGTTTAATAAGTCACGCCCTCACTCCAAAGAGTAGTAAAAAAAAAGCACATGACTTTTATTCAATCAACTTTTAAATCCAAACCAAACTTCCAATTTTACTGTAATAGTTATTCTTGAATAAAATGATAAGCAGTTTGAAATATATAAACTAGTTTACTGTTTAAGTGTTTTCCAAAAATGTATAAATTTATGTACAGTAATAACTACGGACAATAAATAAATAAAAATTAACAGCCGTAAATATGTACCTAATGGTAACTAACAAATGTACGGACGGACACACCGGGGATATAAAGGGTTCTAAACATGTGTTTAGAAACCTAAAAGTAAACTATATACTTTATTTAGTTCTTCATTTTATTTATAAAACAATATTCTCGACTAGTTACTAACAAAAAAAAGAGAGTAGGTAAAAAGAAACTTATACTCCTTGGTTCCAATCGTAGGATAAACATCGGTCAGTCGCGGTCACTGATCAACAACCCCATGGGAAATACGACAAGTGTAGGAATATCCTAAAGGTTAGTGGATTTGACAAGAGAAGAAACTAGTTTGAATAATATAACTGAGTTCAGTAAGTTGATGTGGTTAGATAAGGTAAAAATAAAATTAAATATAATATCATTTATAAAATAATAAAAAAGATCAATATTTGTTCACTTCACTCGTTCATAATATATTATTATATTATTTAATATTAAACCAATTTTGGGAAACATATTATACTTACGGGATAAAACATACCTAACCTACTTGAAAAAATTTTTTTTTCATTAAAACTACAAACAAGAACCTATATATAGTATTTAAAGTTGTAAAAATAATACATAAGTTGTTTTTCGAATTCGTTACTGACTTCGTATATCGAATATTAATAATACCTATGGGCTACGATACGCGTCTTAACTGGCCAAATAAAGAAAAATATAGCATGCACGACTAACTTGAACCATAATAATTCCTGTGAATTACTCCATTAGCCATCCATCCCCAGGTTAAGTACGAACTGTTGTTGCAGTACAAAATAAAAACTTGTTTATCTTAATGCTATCATTATTTGTATGGGATCCGTTTAAATTTTTTTCAAAATCAGAATAGATTTTCCAAATGGATCTAAAAAAGCTGAAATTCCCTGTATTATAATATATATATCATCATAAATGTGTCTTTGTTTGTTCTCTATAGACTCAAAAACTACTGGACCATTTTCAATAAAAATTAAATCAATAGGTTCTTTGAGACTCAGAGGGTATTTAAAGTTGTTTTTTTCAACCTCTATAGAGTGAATCACATATGAATTTAGTTTTAAAATAAAATATTATTTTCATTATTTAAATTGTTGCTATTGGTCCCCATTATAATATTAATATTAAAATTAGTAGAAATATGCTAGATATTCATAATACTTAATTTTAAAATTAATTTGTACGTAATTCCATGTGTTTTACCAATTTACCTTTAAAATATTAAATATCTAAAATTCAAATTCTTCTAAAATCTTACCTTTCTATGATATTTATAATTGTAATTGATTTTTGAAAAAGTAAAACAAATCGTCGATATTTTAACACTACCCGGAAATTAATTACACAGATTTCAACGTTAAGTTTCCAGTGTTATAAACTCTCATTGCCAAAATGTTAAAACTTGCAAAACAAATAAAATGATGATAAACTTCACGCAGTTTTCATGTCCTAAAGTTCCGATCGAGCATCCCAACAGTTTGACAAAATTTGTTTATTCGACAGGTAATTTAAAAGTTTTCCTTGGAAAAAAACTTATCTTAATCTGAAAACTTAATATATTTTGTGATTTTAACCACAGATATTTAAAAATATTCTGCCATTTTTTCCTTTTTCGTGAAATAATTACTATTTTGGTACTATTTCAGATTTTTACCAAGCAGATACCCCAAAATAAAACTAAAATATTAAGTCTAAATAAACTAGATTACAATAGTATTGAATCATCGATTCTGTTCTATTTAAATGATTTTAGCATATTAATTTATTTCTTCAAAATTAATAAATGTTATTGTTATTTAAGTCTTAAATGTTTAAATTAATGTATTATCAATAAAACGAGGTAGAATACTGAATAATTTACTATGATTCAGCCATTTCATCAAAGTATCCAATGTTCAATATATTCCTGTTAAAAATACCCCAATTAATATATAGTCCAATATTATTTGAAATAATCGCTTTTGGAAGTATAAATATCTAAATGTTACAACTAACGCCAAAATATTTTCATTGCATTTTATTGTCAGTTAAATTGTATCAAGTATTTCACTAGATCCGGTCAATTAAAAGAATAACATTGTTTCTGAATCTAAATTAAAACCTACAAATTCGAAAACTCTTATTCGATATTTTTGATACGAATGCCCTTTTGAAATTCTTAAAATTAAATAGACACGGTTACAATGTTTAGTGGTAATAAATAATAATAATATCAGCCTGACTACCTGATTTATCTGGTTAGCGGCACTTGGCAATTTTCTATTGGTACCTATGCATTATGTATTGTCATGTATTACTGTGTGAAAATATTTTTTCTTGTCATTTGTTATCAAATCAACATTTTAAAATTAAAAACTTAAAAATAAACTTTTGAAAATAGCCAAATAGGTAAAAGGCTACTTGCAAATGGTGAATATTAACATAGCTTACACAGGTCCAAGGAAATAAAAAAAATAAACAAATAAATGTACCTACTTGTGTATAAATTAGAAATGTAAAGGTTGCTGTCAGACTCCTAAATCCTAATAATAAAGATAGGTACCCCACACCATAGAATTGTTTTAAAAATAAAAAATGTATATCAATTATTTTAATTTAAAAGAAATTTATTTTATAGCTTTACCTAAGAATAACTTTTAAACTTTCCGAAATTATCAATACCAGAACAAGAATCGGTCATACCAACCTCACCCACATACATATCATAAAACACGAAGAACAACCCATCTGTGTGCAACGAACCACACTCAATCAAACACATAGTCCTAGACTGCCCGCTATATGTCAACGCAAGAAACATCCTAAACCAACTTTCACCGATGGAGGAAGCACTAGGAGAACACACACGCACTTGATCCATAACTTCTTCAAATCCATCGGCATCGAAACAAAAATTTAATATTAAGATAAAACTACATAACTAGCAAATATAATGTAAAGATATAATTCTGTAAAAACCACTCATCCAATAACTATGTAATCTTAATTTTTAATCTAATTATATATCCATTAATATTAATATAACCACAACTATAGGGTAATGACCTAGCTTTTGGAGTATTTACCAATAAAAAAAAATAATAATAACTTTTAAACGTAATCTTCTGTTGTTTTAAACAAAAATAACTAGTATATTATAATAAATTAAAGGATATTTATTATTGCATTTTAATTTATTACTATTTTGTATAAGTACGTTATTCAAAATATGTTTTTCAAAATCATTCGGTTTATAGAATAATCTAAAAATAATTGTTGAACGTAGTTTGAATTGCAATAATTGATAAATGAGAATGAATACTTATGTTTATTATAATATTATATAATTCATACTATTCTGTTACGACTGTTAGGAATGTATGTTTATCTAACTTATTTAGTATAATTAAAAGTAAGTTTATACTATTAAGGAATAATTGTAATAGGGACAATTTTGAGTTAGGGATCATTTCATAGGGGATATTTTAAGCTTAGGATATTTTGAGGGTACGCCATTTATTTTTACTTTTCCAAACGTGGAAGTGATATATTAAATAAGTTATCAGTTCGATGAAATGCGATAAAACGTTGAAGAAGTACGAATACGACTATTGATCAACGCCGTTTTATTATGTAACTGGCTTCGGATGCAGTGTTTGTTTGACACTAGAGCTACGTAGGTCAGTGGAGTCGGGTGCATGAATGTCTAGTGGTCAGTCGTTTGGACTCAAATCCTCTTTATCAACATTTCATCATTATAGGTAGTGTCATCATTTATTTTGAGATACCGGAAAAGTGAATTCACTATTCAGATGTAGCTAAATTGCCTATTCATCTCGCCGTGTTATAATAATTTTGTTATTGAAATACCTGATAAAAAAACAACTGGGAAATCGCTTCTGGTGTATATTAGTTTTGAGTGTACCTTGTCAT